GATGGTTGGATCTGCTTTGCTGGTTTTGTATATGTTCAAATGCGTATGATTTGTTTCCTTAAAGTGTGGCGAAAATCGGCAAGTGCAATGGTTAAATCTGAATGTGTAAATGTCATCTTTGAGGTGATTGTGAAATTCGTTTTGCTAGTTTTATGTATGTTTAAAAGGTAGAAAATCGCTTTACTTAAAGTGGAGTATATTAGGCGAGTGCAAATGATGAATCAGAACTTGGAAAAAATCATATTTATAGGTCCAAACTTAAGCCTCTTTTGTAAAATCTATTGACTTCTTATTCGAGAAAATTTTTACTCTCTGAATCTGGACAAATTGATTTACGAACCCGAGTAGATTTTAGTCTCAAATTCTGATTCTGTTTACTTCTGAACCGAGTAGATTTTAATCTCAAATTCTGATTCTGTTTACCTCTGAATTGAACAGATTTTAGCCTCAAATTCTGATTCTAGTTACTTTTAAACTAAACAGACTTTACTGTCAGAATCTAGACAAGTCTATTTTTGAGAATGAACAGATTTTTTTGTCAGAGTCTGGACATGTCTACTTGTAAAATCCAATAGATTTTACTATTATAATCTGGACATGTCTATTTTGAAACCAAATAGAATTTATTTTCAAAGTCTAGACATATGTATTTTGAACCCGAGTATACTTTATTTTCAAAGTCTGGACATATGTATTTTGAACTCGAGTAGACTTTATTTTCAAAGTCTGGACATATGTATTTTGAATTCGAGTAGACTTTGTTTTCAAAGTCTGGACATATGTATTTTGAACCCGAGTAGACTTTATTTTCAAAGTTTGGATTTTGAACTTGAGTAGACTTTAGCCTTTTGAGTCTGAACCCGTATTGCTTCATACTTATTTGCTTGAATAATGCATTTCATTGCTTTAAATGATATGTGATGTAAAGAATGTGAGTATATGCATGCAAATGCTTGGTTGTCATGGCTTGCATGAAAATAATATAAATTCCGTCACTCACAATTCAATGGTGACGATGCCCCCTGTGTCGGGATGCCTCGTTGATCAGGATGCCTCGGAGGGTGTACCAAGATGCCTCGGAGTTGGTATGCCACGTTGGTTGGGGATGCCCCGGAGGGTATACCGGGATGCCTCAGAGTTGGGATGCTCTGTTAGTCGAGATACCTCGGGAGTGTTCGGGAGGAAAAAGTAATGAACCTAACACATGAGCATGAATGGTTTACATCATATTCTTGCGTTTGAGTAAAAGTATTGTGAAATGTTGAGTTGCTTAGATTTTGTGGCATATCCAGATGGAAAAGGTATAACATTCATTCAAGTTATATGCATACTGTTTGTTATGCATGTATGTTGTTTGTACCAAGTGAAGTGGTAAGCTGATTTTCCTAACTTAAAACTAGAGATTTCATTTACTGGGCTTCGGCTCATTCCTTTATTTTTCAGACATGTAGGATGGGTGTTCCACAGCCTCTGCGTTTTGGAGTTCCCGTATATCATGGAGTTGTCTATGAAAATGTGTTTGTGCCTGAGTCTGAAGCAGTAGATACTAAATGTAGCTCTACTATCTAAGTTGATGTGGGTTTTATGAAGTGGGTTCTTTATCGGTTCGTTGCGTGGTACGGTAATATCAACGGCGAGTTAGTTGGCCCGTTGACAGACTTTGACATAGCTAAGGATGATCCCGCATCGGAGGACGAAGTTATCGATACGTGACGTCACCAGACTTTTGTCCAGGCAGACTTTTGGAGTATAACTTAGTATGGAGATAGGCAGCCTAGACCTACCCAGTCTTTTGTTTTTTGTGATTATATGATGTTTGTCTGGACTTGTAAATCTGACAAGTGTTGTTAATAAGAAGCATAAGTATGTTGACTAAACTTGTGTGATTTTCATATTTAAAACATGTTCAGACTTTAACTTCCGTTGGCTTGATTATTAGTTAAGGTTAGTAATAATAAAAGACACGTGTCGCGCGTGACGTTCTAGGGCGTCACAGTGCGTCAGTTGCTGATCATATCAATGAATTTAATGTGATCCTTAGTCAATTGAGTTCAGTTGACATTGACTTTGAAGATGAGGTACGTGCTTTGATTCTATTATCCTCTATGCCTGATAGTTGGAATACTACTGTTATTGCTATTAGTAATTCCTCTAGGTCAACAAACTTGACATTTGATGGTGTTCGAGATTTAATTCTAAATGAGTACATTCGTAGAAGAGAATCTGGTGAACATGTATCTGCTGCTTTAGTAGGTGAAAGAAGAGAAAAAACTAGTACATGTGCTGCAGGAGTAGTGTAAACTCGAAGAGACGTAGTAAGTTAGGACTAGTGGTGTTGTCTATTGGAGATGTGGCAAGAAGGGACATCTTAGAAGGGATTGCCTTAAGCTGAAAAACGACAAGGGTAAAGGAATTAGAGTTGAAGTTTGTGGATGATGTTGCAGCTGTAGCTGATGGTAATTCGGATAATGCTGATTATATCTTGTCTGTCAATGATAATTCGTGGTTTGGCAAATGGATTATGGATTCCGGTTGTTATTTTCATGCTACACCAAATAGGAACTGGTTTATTAATTATTAGTGCACAGATAGTAGAAAAGTCCAGTTGGGGAACAATGCGAAGTGCGATGTTGTAGGTGTTGGTGTGTTAGAATCAGAAAGCATGATGGTATTGTGAGAACATTGAATGGAGTGAGGCATGTTCTAGAGTTGAAGAAAAATATGATTTCCTTGAGTGCCCTGGATTTAGCTGGGTGTCGGTATTCTTCAGAATGTGGAGTTGTGAAAGTTCTTCGAGGTGCCTTGGTGATAATGAAAGGAATCAAGCATAATGGCATGTATGAACTTTAAGGTGAGACAATGACGGAATTCGTTGCGGAGACGTCCGATGCATCGGTTCGAGAGAATGAATTGTGGCATATGCGTTTGAGGCACATTAGCGAGAGAAACCTGAAGGTTCTAAGTAAAAGGAATTTGCTATGTAGTTATGTTGCTGACAAACTGAATGTATGCAGGTGCCGTACCCTAGATCAACGGCGGAAAGTGCAGTTCAATATGACTGTCAAAGAAACCACAGATATTGCAGAATTGATTCACTTAGATGTTTATAGGTTGTCGCGGTTTCCTTCCAGGAAGAGTGCTAGATATATGCTAATAGTTGTGGATGACTACTCGAGGAAGACTTGGGTATTTGTGCTAAGGCACAAGTTTGATGCTATTGTAAAGATCAGGCAGTTGAGAGCTTTGATCGAAAAGGAGACTAGTAAAACGATCAAACAGGTGCAGACTGACAATAGTATGGAGTTTTGCTCGAAGCTGTTAAATGAATTATGCATGAAGGAAGGCATAGTGAGATACTGCACTAGTGCCAATGAACCACAATATGTTGCAGAGTTGATGAGCAGAACATTACTAGAGACGGCTCATAAAATGCTCTCTAGTGCTGGTATGGTTAGGAGATTTTTGGCGAATGGCTTAGTACGGTGAGCTACCTAATGAATAGATTCCCATCGACTGCGATTATATGTTGTGGTCAAGTAACGTTGTTGATTATTTGGTTATAAGGATATTTGGTTGCCCGTGTTATGTTCGAGTTAGTAATGGTAAGCTCGATGGAAAGACAAGAATGTGCATGTTCCTAGATTATGCACAAGGTGAGCGGGACTGTAAGTTGTGGTACTCGGAATTAAATTCATCTGTTATCAGTAGAGAAGTTACATTTGACGAGTCTCTAGTACTTCTAGGTAAGAGTGTTAATAGCAGTGTTTATACTGATATAAACGCTGTTCAGCTTAAGATTGAGTTGCAACCAAAAACTTTTAAGGTAGCAGGTACTAGCGCAGTTATCAGCACGGATGGTGTTTGTAGCGAGGTGGAGCCTATTGAGCCAACAGTTGCTGTAACTGCTGCTATTGATAAGGTGCATATTTGATCTCCTGACATATATAGATGCAACGCTGGTTTTGCTTTATCTGCGGTAGAGGAGGTTGTGTCGGAAAATTCTTGTAGAGCAGTTAAAGGTGTAGGTGAAGTTGGTCTTCTGATGAGGTCAACAGTTATAGTGAAGTTCAAGCGCGGCTTGGACTTGAAAGATGTCTGTGGCGGTTGAGCCCATTGAGGGCTGTGGGACAGTAGTAGTGAAGTTCGAATTTTTAGTGAAGTTCAGACGAAGTGATTGTGACTTAACTCAAACGTCAAGCTAAGGTGGAGATTGTTAAAATATGTCTCGAGTTTGAGCTCGAAAAGGAAAGTTTCCTAATTCAATTAGGTTTCTTATTTTGAATAGGTTTCCTAATTGGAGAAGGTTTCCCAATTTGGATCCAATTCTTGCCTATAAATAAGAATGGGATGTTAATCGTAAAGATCATAAAAGAGGAACTTCTGCTAGGGAATTACACCCTGAAGATATCCGAGTGTATTATAGCAGATGAAATTCTTGTGGTAAGAATTTGTGTACAATTCTTTTTTGAGATTGAGAAATTATTTCGTGAGAAATTGTTGGGCTAAACATTGCGTGAGTTATTGGGTGTAATTGGGGCTTGAGAAACACTGAGAGTGTTTGAGTGATTTGAGTGTGGTTGTAATCTCCATTATATTGCTTGTCTATAGTGAAATTTCGTGCTGCTCTCCCCATTGACGTAGGTCACCACGACCGAACCACGTAAATCTGATGTTCGATTTATTTTCTTTATTCTGTCTATCTTTCGCAACACACACAATGACAAAAATGGGTACCAACAGTTGCGTGATAACTATATTTGTCAGTCACAAGTTCTTACCGATTTTAATGTTTATTCAGATATACATTGTAGAGCATCCCTAACTCTCGACTCGATTGACCCCCACGAATATGCGTGAAACCTGCCCCATCCATGTACATCGGTTCAAGCTCCACCCCATCGGATAAATTTGTAGGTACATTTTTATGAGTGGACTATCACTTCACGATATTCACCATACCGGGTTTAAAAATGAAATGATTATTAAAGCAAGAAACACACTAGGATAAATGCACTACTAGCTTCCACAAGTTGAAGAGTACCCTAGCTACAAATTAGTTGATGATTACATATTTTTCACATCCTTACCGGTCACCACGTTGAACACACACCGGGACACTTAGACAAAGAAATTAAAAAATAATTTACACTAAGATTTTATCACTATCTACATTACCCTAACTAATAGTGCCTTGCGCTAGCTACATATACCCTACTAGCAACAAGCTCAACACTTATTAAATCCCTCATTGGCGCGAGTCAAAAAGGTTCATCCAGTCCATGCCGTAGGCATTGTACACGTTCTCCGGCATGTAGAAAACATCCTCGTACGCAAGCTCTCCTCCGGGGAACCGCCGGTCCATGCTCGCGTCCATTGACATCGACGAGCTCGGGCTGTTGCTCGACGCCGTGGGCCCATCAGCGGCCCGCTCCAGCAACTGCTGGATCTCCTTCTCCGACTTGATAAGCCGGTCCTTCAGATTCAACATCTGCGTAAAAGAGAAAACTATCACATTAGCGTGAGGTGAAATCATGTCAAGAATGAAAAAAAGATGCGACTATCGTCTTTTGAAATGTTGGGTGGATCTTATCCGCAGGTCAGCTTTTGGAAAGAAGGTGGACAAACACGCTACGTGGGCCTCTTCCCAAAGCCCAAGCCACCTTAAACAAACATCGTACGGACCACCTCTGGGTACTTTCTTGCATTCAAATAAGGTGTCAGATTGCTGTTCTTGGACCATTTTTCTTTCGGGTCTGTCGTTTTTCTTTTTAATTTATTCCTAAAACGAGGGAACGTAATAGAAAAAGAGGGAAAAAAGAAAGGGCAAGGTGGCATTTGGCTTTCTTCGAGTCTAGAGCTCATGCACGTTCAGATGCTGGTGGGGTCATAGCCGTACTCTTTCTTCAGGATAAGGCCACCACCATCATCAACTCAGCTGCGTCCCCAGGAAGAAGAATTTGAGTTTTATTCTCTGTTCCTTTTCTTTTGCTGATATGGAGAAGATGCAAGAATTTAAAAGAAAAAGAACCGAAAAGGAAGACTGTGACTCGAGTTATTGTGAGAAGTTTTCTTGAAACCCTCTGGTGCATGACAAAACAAAGCAGCTTTTGCATGGAGATTTCTCTCTTTGCACTGACTATCTTCTTGATGTAGCCTTTCATGATCACTGGACCAGTTAAAGCTTTAAAGCAACGTGTGCGACACTCTAGTGGAGATCAATCCACTTCAAGAAAATAATGTTATCAACCGATTTATACCCTTAAGATGACACTGTAAGCTAGAGAGAGAGAGAGAGAGAGAGAGAGAGAGAGAGAGAGAGACCTCGGTCTCAAGGCGGCACTTCTCGATCACGGTGCCCTCGTGCACCGACTTCAGCTTCGCGTACTCCTCCTCGAGCTTCTTGTTCTTCCACCGGGCCCGGCGGTTCTGGAACCAGACGGCCACCTGCCTCGGGTCGAGCCCGAGCTCCGAGGCCAGCCGGTCCTTCCTCTCCGACTCGAGCTTGTGCTCGCTCCCGAAATTCTGCTCCAGGAGGCTCACCTGCTCGTCGCTCAGCTTCCTCTTCCTCGGCCCCACCGCGCCGCCCTCGCCCTTGTTCTTCTTCCTCCTGCGCCGCGGCTTCGATTCTGCACGCCACCCAAAACAGAAGAACAGCCCCGCTAAATCAGTCAGCCTGCTCCTCATATCCACAACCGCCCTTAAAAGCTCGACGGGCTAACTTTCGACCCTCCGAGATCGATGCCCGTCTTTGGCGCCGTCGAGGAGCGTGCATACTACGTATTCTAAGCATGGAGATGCACTAGAAGAGGGACTAACCTTTGACGGGCGGCACGATCTGCGCGTAAACCCCCGGGTACAACTCAGAGATTAGAGCCATATGATCTTCTAATTGGTTGTCGGTGTCCATGGTGATCCTCATACCCTCTCTTTCTTTCTGTGCCTGCATAAAAGGAGCTTTGCTGCAACTTCTTTTTGCAGGGAAGTGCGTGGTGTTCTCTCTGGTTTTTGAGTGGAACTCAAGCATCTGGCAGGGCGGAAGACTTTGTTTTTATAAAGGGAGGGGCTGCTAAATGGGGCTCCGACCGCCCTAAATTATCCGGATTGCCATCGAGACTTGTTGGTGATCTTGACGACGAGGCTGATGTCACCTCACTTGTATTTATGTCTGGCTTCATTGGGACATAAACATCGTTTCTACGTATTGCTGAATACTTTTACCGAAAGGAAGCAAGTAAAATGAAAAAGTTTGCACACAGAAACTCCACGGCCCCGTAGCTCCTCCCTTCTCCCATATCGAGCCCGAAGTCCTTGTGTGAATCCATTGGCCTTATCTTGGACAAACTGTGTAAAGATGGTAATCGCAGAATCAATGATCGTGGACCAGATTCATGCACCGCTCATTTTGGGTATATTCCGATATAACACGTGTCTGTCTAAGTAAAAATATCGGATTTTTGGTGCTTGCCCCAACAATATTTCTCTTCTGATTCTCTCTTTTAAACCGGAGTCGTGGCCTCTGACATATGTGTCAGTTGATATAATTGAACCAACGTGTCTTTGTGCGGGTTTCTTTGGAGGAAGAACAAGATCTGGTTTAGTTCGGTTCTTGAAATAGCAGGTTAAGATGTCTGACTCATTTACATGAGGATTTTGGTTGAATTTAGTGCAATCTAGTCTGAACCATCTGGATAAGATAGCTTTTTCCCCCCCAAGGAACATGTGTAGGTAAGTGACTATCTAGATAATGTACATTAAACTCGTCAACATAAATAACAATAATCAAACTGTTGCGTTAAGAATTAAGTTTTTCACCTGATCGTGGGTTGTTTCGAAATCTTGCGCCCGTGATGCTCCAAATATAATTTCTCCTATGCCTATAAGTCCTTGATTTATTAAGGTGGGGCCGTGCTTCCTTCAACCGAGTCTAAGATTGGTGGGTCATGAATTTGACCATCGCTCACATTCAAATCGGATTGAAATCAACGTGGGCGATGGTCAATACATACGTAGTGTGCCAATAAGACTCATTGGAGCTTCTTCCAACTAGGCATGGGGGAGAATACGGCTCATCTAGATGTGTGCAGACTCATGCCACTTATGCCGAGGGGGGAGAAAGGGACAATGCTATGCTGCACAACCGGCGCAACCATTTCATGTGGGCCTGAACCGATAGAATCGTGCAAAGATAATTAGAAATACCCATCGCTTTATTTTCTTTAATGCTTCTACTTAGAATGTGAATCACACCGTTTCATCACACCCCATAAGAATTTACTATAGCCTTCTAGATGATAAGTTCTGAAGAATTTAAGGGGGGAGAGGCGGGTCAAAATTGATGTGGCGTGAACATAGGGGCCTCACCCTATATTTAGTAATTTGGATTGGGGGGGGTTAGGTTAGGTTGATGATCCCAAACCTGACCACCTCGAATTCGAATAAACAACAAGAATGGGTGGTCGTGGCCTCTGGATTTGAACACTTTAGCCGTGATGGAAAAACCTTTTGTTGTCCAATCGGGTGGTATTCTCTCACTTCCGCTATGTGCCATGACCAACGTCGCACTCGTTTTGTCCTAATAGAAAAATATCTCGTATGCGTGGCTCGAGAAGAGTAAAAGAACAGAACTTTTTTTTTTGTCGAATAAAGAACAGTACTTAAAAGACCTTGGAATATTGACCCTATTATATTTGGCCAAGATGGTTTATAGGGTTAATGGGGGGGGGGGAAGAAAAACGCCACTAGCTCATGAGAACCAGAGCCTTCTACGCAAATCTATAGGGCGATAGATGTGTTGGAAGGTCCGACGGGTTTATGAATAGAAAGAGAGCATGTGTACGGACAGAGTATATGAACCCCGCAAACAATATATAAGAGACTTTTCTAATGCCCCTCTTACGTGAAAGCTGGATTGGGAACAATACGTGTACCTCTCTCATGTGCAAGCCGAATCAGGAATGACAAGTGGATTCAATGAACGAGGGGTCGCAAGTTTGAAATAGATTGGGGCAGAACCTAACTCTGACCCGACTCAAAAGTGAGTGTATAAACCTTGTGTGTGAGGACGTGAGATGCTTTAACAAAAAATTGAAAAAGCCTTTCATGCATTGATTATGTGACAGGAGCCAATGTTATATTAATATAACAAATGAGGACCCTTAGTTGATCTGCGATTTTACAATAACATGATCACTTAGATTCTAGAATATGCGGAATTCGACATCCAGGGGTCGTGGATCGATCATATGGATTGTTAGAAAATCCAACCCAAATACTTAAGTTGATAGTGGAGGGAAATCACATGTACTTTGTAATGAAGTGGAGATACACGCGAAAGGGATAGTACTTGGCTTTGATAGCGTGGTAGAAATTATAACCCAAAAGCTTAAACTGATAGTTAAAAAGGGAGACAACATGTATATAAATAACATATAAAATATGTTATGAAGATATAAGATATGTATTAACACGAGTTATTCGGGTTTGCGCCAACATTTTTCTTCGTGCGGAGAGAGAGAAATATGTAATATATTGGAGGGCATTGGAGCAAACTGAGGCAAACTAAGAGAAAGCGTCATTCTTTGCGTCAGTTGCTTAGCACTCAGGGACCCTTTCCTCATGGCAGAAGTACTTTCTGAGCCTTTGTGAATCACGCGCTGCAATCAAGTATTCTTTAATCATGGGTTCCATGGGACTCTAAATCTGGATTTGTTTGTATTTATTAGTGAACAGTTCTTGATGAACGGTACTAGATACTTCGTCCCCTTGTTTTTTATTCATGATTATTAACTATTTCTCTAGATAAGCGCTTCAATAGAGAACTACAGTTGCAATGTTATGTATTGATTCGAGGTATTCTTGTTCCCATAAAAAAAAGTACATGTAATGCATGCCAATCTAGTATTAGAATGGGAGTGCGCATTTTGATGTGTAAGTTAGAAAATTTTATTTACATGAGTTAGTTTGGACGTTCTCAAATGATTCTCCTGAAAGATGAAATCGCTTCGATAGTGACCTTAAATCTTTTCTAGGGGATGACTTACAGTATTGACGCAATCCTTAGAGAACTCACAAAGATGTGCATTCCTTCATTCTTGGCTAGAGAAAAATGTCCTTCAACAAAACTTTTGATGCTCTACACATTTTTGTAATTCAGATTCAGAATTATCATGGAAAAAACAGAGATGAATACCGAAGGCTAATTCTACACACAATAGCCTCTTTTCTCTCGTCTTTCTCTTGCTCTCCCAATTATATTGCCGCTCGCCATCGACTCCTCGCCATCACCACCAACGACAGCCATCCATCTTGAACCACCTCCACCAACTCTCTCTCTCTCTCTCTCTCTCTCTCTCTCTCTCGTCCGTGGTGGGTTGCACAACGGTTGCGCCCACAATTGCAACCTCTGGCTAGGTCGCTCGCGGTCACCTCGCCGGAGGTTGCACGGGAAGTTGTGACCTCGAGTCACGGGGAGGGAAGGAGCCTCCGCCGGCGGGGGCGGGCTCCGAGAAGACTTGTCTCTTTCCTCGTTGTTTTAATGTGGGTTTCTCCTATATGCATAATCATTTTACCACCCAATTTAAAATGTCAAAAAAGTACTTTGGTGGCAACCTTAATGTCCAGTCGTACCACCATTTCTCTTCAAATCACAAGAATATATCTCATGCAAAGGTGTCGAGCTAAGATTGGTCGAAGCAGGTGAAGGGCACAATGCCCAATTAATTTCTTTCTCTTTTTGTCTAACTTCGCGTATTCTATTACTCCAATCAATATTCTCCTAAATTCGTGCTACCAATTGAAGAGCGTGGCACTGTCTCTTCCCCCTTGTTTTCCGCGCATATCTACTTACCTATTTTTGCCCCCCCCCCCCCCCCACACGGCACCGAAGATGATCCAATCAAAGTGGATAAATTGGAATTTGGAGTACGTGGGTGGGTAGGGCTTGACCAGCTTTAAGGGGGTGAGGTGAGCTCTCAATTTTCTCTAGGCAAAGGGAAAGGCAATGCATGCACCGGTCATTTCTCCCTCTTGTCTGTCCTTTGCAGAAGCTATTGCCCGAAATAGACCCCATGGGGAGCTCGAGAGAGGAAACAGCCACACCCCCACCACTTGACTAAATAGCACGAATAGTGCCATTGCGTTCAATCGAGTTTTGTAAGTTGTGCATGCTTGACTCGTTAGGCAAATGTTGGGGATTAGAGATATGTTTGGACTGTCGAAAATGCTTTTGCACTTTTATCAACCCTTGTTTTTACCAAAAAAAAAAACCTAGTGAAGATCAACGGAGGAGACAGTAACGGTGGTGGCGAAGGAGGTGGCGGAGGGCCTTGCTTGATCAAACTGAATCTGAGAAGGGCTCAAACACACCTGAAACCGAATATCTAGCCGCAACCACCTCGTGTGGTGGTCCAGATTGTTCGTGAATGGTGCATATTGGCCGCGATGAATTTCCTAAGCCTCATGGTATTTCTGGGCTCTGGTCAGATCCAGGTCTAGGTGTTGGGTTGTGAGTCCAAATAAAATTAGACTTTTAAGATGATTGTATCATTTGTTCTTCAAATGGTTGATACAAATGGATTAATATTATCACTCTATAGAGTACAAATGTACAAAAGTTCAACATTAGTGTGCAAATTCAAATTTTGATCCATATCCTCTTGATGAAAAAGAATGACGATTTACTTTTCTGCCTATATAAATCACAAAATGTAACTATGTTAGTTTTAAGGAAAACTTAATCAAACAAAATTGCGATATACTAAAAACTTGAAATCTCTACCCAAAGTTTGAATAGATCATTTTGTCAACTTTTGTTAAGCCACATGTTCCCCGTGCAACGCTAATTGAAATATTTGTCCTTTGTAGAACGAAATTGATCAATAATTAATTACTATCAATCTTAGTAGTTTTGTAATACAATGTGGAGTGTTGAAACCTTTCGTTCTAACTAATCCCCTTGTATACGGGCAATCTGCACCTGCTACGTGTTTACGCTTTCAATGTGTCAAAGTGTGCGGCCCCGAGTTAATAAGAGTGA